AATGTCTACAGATCCACAAACCTGAGGCTTGCATGAAGTAGCTGTCATGGGACCATCTGCAAATGGAGAGGAGGGCAGGTGAAACCAGCCCTCTCAGGTATTTGTGCAGTATCAAGCTCTAATGCTACTTTTATAACATGCTGATGTTGCTCTGCCTCCAAGAATCAATAAAGTCTTAACCTTCAACGGCCAACTCAATGGCCTTCCTGGCTTATCAGTAGAATGATCTACAGAAAGTAAAGCTGAACCTAGTCAGTACACGGATGACAGACCTCTATGAACTCCAAAAAATGAGGGGAAAATCCACTTTATTCTTATGGTCGGGGAGACTATCTGGACATGTCCACAAAGTCCTTAAGTATTAAGCTTGACTTGAATATCCTTAAAATATCCCTCCTAAAAGCTTAAGTTGAGCAACATGATACATGTTTGACTTTTCACTTTTTCTTTAGATGTGAATGGTGGATCATTTATTTTTTGAATAAATAAACGTGGATGTCCTCTCATCATTCTGTGAATCTAACTAGGGTAGTTTGTAGGTGATGGTTTGATGTACCATATGACATCCCCCCCCTTGTGTGTTTTTTGGTTCAGTGAACAAGGTTTAAGCAAATTTTAATGTGTTTTGGGATCTCAGCAATGATTGAATGGCAGCAGATAGGAATTTCCAAATGGAACTTTCTTACCTATTGTTTAAATCTAGTTAAAATGATTATGTTAGGAGGTTGAATTGGGAACTTTAGAAATACCGTTATCACCTTTTGTAGTAAGAACTATGATTAGGAAATGAGATTCATGATTTTAAAGTAAATAAAATTTCCCATTTCCTTTTGCCTCTCGTTTTCACAGCAAAAGTGTTCTGTTGACTCCAGCACTGAATCTGAATCTGAATCTGATACTAATATAGAGGTAAGATGCCCAGTTGATAGAACGAATGGGCTGCCATATACCACCCTGTGGGACTGAAAGGCTATATACCTCCCATTCTGATTCCACCTAGTAATCATATTTTATTACATAACATCTCTGCAGTATGAAGATCAATGGGTGAAAAGTGTTTCCACCAATATGCTTCTTTTTAAAAAAAAAATCAAGCTTAAAATCAACCATGGCTTTTCACACAGAATTGATTCAGTCCTTATTTATTTCATTTACATTATTATTTCCAGGCACTTATTGTACGAGTGTAAAAGCTGTGCAAACTCTGCTTTCACATAGTCTGATTATCTGGAGGAATGGGGTTAATTAAATGGCAATAATCTTGTGACACCCCTCCCACCCCTTTGCAAATTTGGCTAATGAACTAAAGCAGATGTTTGCAAGAAATTTAGAGGCAATAGTTCAATATGGTTGTTTTATTATAGTGTAGAATAAATTGAAATTATTAATATATTTTAAAATATAGGACATTAATTATAAACTTAGCAATTTGTAGAATTTACCATTTGTTCCATACCCCTTTTCTCTCCCAAAGAAGGCATTCTTCATACCAGGAATGTCCATTGGGTGTGGCTAAATAGTCGATGCCAGTGCCAACAGTGCAAAAAATGTTTCTCCTGGTTTTTTTTTATGTGTAATGTATGAAGGACCAAGGTAGTATATTTTATAGAAAAACGGAATGAACAACTGGTAATGAAAACTCCTTTGTACAAGAGCAGGTTTCTATCCACTTTCACATGGTAGTAGTGTTGAGTATGTGAAGAGAACCATAGAAGCTGAATGAAGCACTGAAAAATTGTGCGAAAGACCAAGTGGGGACTGAATGAATGCCGATGGATTACAAAATGAATAATCAATATTCAAGGTGTGGTTGGAGAGAGAATAAATGAATTTAAATTGCAAAACAAAATGTGGAAGAAGAGTGAATAGATTGAGAGGAAGAGAAAAAGAAAGTCTTGGTTAAATGGAGTTACTGAGATCCTGAAAGAGGAGGAAGTTTAAAGAACAAAAGGCAGTGTTATGAAATGGTGTGTGTTTCTGGGGGAAGCAAAATGAGGGAGTGAGTGTAAATTAGTTTTAGCTTTCTTTCCCCCCCTTTCTGCTGTTTTTTTCTTTTGCTTACTGTTTCTCGCTCTTTTCTTGCCATGTACATAACTTTGCTTATGCCCAAACAGAAAAGGGGTATGTATGAATTTCTTTACCTGTGACTAATCAGAGGACTGGATCAGCTGAGCTTAGAGTAACAAAACTTATCAGGGACACTTGTAGGATATGGTGAAAATAGAGATGGCTACATTTGAGGGACAAGAAAACAACAGAACAACAGAATAATAGAATAAAACAGAATTGGAAGGGACCTTGGAGGTCTTCTAGTCCAACCTCCTGCTCATGCAGGAGACCCTATACCATTGCAGGCAAATTGTTTTCCAATCTCTTTTGGAATTGTGTATACACCCAGGAGTTATCATTGTTTCTTAGATGGAATTTTTCGAGTTGTAGTTCCAATCTGCCTGAACAGATGAGGTTGCACCACTCTCATATCAAACATCTAACACACATAAAGGAATGGTTATTTTTTTGGTATATTTTTCTTTTAATTGTAAGCTACCCAAAATCATTGGGAGTTTGATAGCTTACAAATGTTTATATAAACAAGTGTTGGCCAGTTGGCCCACCTGCTGAATTACAATTTTTTGGAGTTCAAAGCCTCTAGCATTTAGTACATTCCATTGATGCAGTTACTTCACAGGAAATTAAAATGCAATAAACGATTAATACACAATCTGATTCATAATCTGTTTCTTTGCTTTTAATAATGTACTTGTAGCAAGCCTGTCATTCTGATACTCAATTGGGAGTAAAACATCACTATGACTTTTAATGCCTTTGAACAGGGGGGTTCACTACAAACTAATTTAACCAGTACTGTATTTGAGAAAAAGATTTTCTGAGGCATGACTGCATGCCTGATTTTTTGAATTACATTTTTATCACTGCAAACTGCCCACAATACTGCAGGGATAATAATACAATCTTAGGAAAGCGTGAGAGAAAATGAAACATGCTAAGACACTTTGGTGGTAAGAGAACATGCTTTGCTATTTCACCTGATCCCGCATGGCGCTTCATATGAGACCAGAGACTTGTCTAAGATAACATATTGTGCAGGTATGAGGCACTTTTTATTCTGTTTTCAGGAAGTAATTTTGGAACCATGTTTAATCATGGCTTACTAGAATGGCTTAGTATGTCTTGCAATCACTATTTGAACTTCGCATAAAAGTAGCCTTTTTCATTTGGTGATAAAGGAGGAAAGGGTTTCTTGGGTCTTGCTTTTCATACCATTGGGATCTGGGTTATATGTTTGTATCTTGCATGTAGAACTTAAAAATATTCCTGCTATAAACGGAAAAAATTCAATACCATTTGTTGCTTTAGTTTGTGGACCCTTATGATGGAGACGACGAAGCTCTCTCAAGCAACTCAGACTGTGATTTGGATTTCGATGTCTCAGCAGTGTTTTTTCTTAGTGATCCCATCAGAAAGATACAGGCAAGAAAAGACCATCCTCCAGAAAAACAGGTGATCCTTTCCTCATCACCACCCAAAATAATTATCTCAAATAAAGCATCTGAACCGCTTCAGACTACAGAATCAGAACCACCTTGGTTTGCAACACCAAATTCTGAAATGTCAACTTCTGATGATACATTGCAGCCCATGTTGATTGACTGTGACTACAAATTATGTGAAGATCAAAATACCAACAAAAGGCAACGGCGACTTGCTCTAGAATCTGGAGAAAAATTAAGAAAGAGGTTGCGGGTGATTTGATATGTCAATGATTCCATTAGTGTAAGTGAATGTGAATTTGTCTAGGGATGAACATGTCCACTATGAAGGGCCCACTGGTGGCACAAATAAATAAGGTAGAAACTGAAATGTTCAAGTATTTTTTATTTATTAGAATTGCGTGTAACCCGTCTCTTGTTTTTTAATCTTGAAGTAATTCACTCTTTCGAAAGAATGCCTTCCAATCAGGTCAATATAAGAAATATTTCTGTCTTTTATCTCATTCATATTTGGAGGCTGAGAAAGAGGGACCTTTACATTACTGTGAATCACGGGGGACCTGACCCTTTGTGTGCTCTTCCTTCTTGAAGCAAATCAAACATATGCAGATTACTGTGAGTAAAGAAGGTGTTTGACAAAGCAGAGATACTCTAAATTCATCTCTCAGTCACAGAAGTCATAGGTAAGAGATGAAAGATGGTTGAACAAAAAGGTTGGCTGGCTACACCAAGTTCAACAGGCATTAAAAAGTTGTAAATTGCAGCTAACTAATCTTCCATTAAATATAAGAAAAAAACATTTAATACAGTAATAGTCTGCCAATGGAGGATTTGAGTTCTCCATCTCTGGAGGGTTTTAGAAACAGGCTGACCAGACACCTGGCCAGGTAGTGTTTCTATGCAAAGTGCTCTAAATACTAGGAGTCCCTGCGGATTTTACTCCACTAGTTGCTGACTATAAAGGGCGGTACTCTTCTTCGTTTCAAGGCCATTGAGCCAATGCTGTGCAAAGACATTTCTATGGTCATGTGGCCAGCATGATGCCACAAAGTGCTATTACCTTCACATCAAAGTGGTACCTATTTATCTACTAACATTTGCATGCTTTTGAACTGCTAGGTTGGCAGGCGCTGGGGCAAGAATGGGGGCTCACCCAGCCACATGGCGCTTGGGTCTTGAACTTGGGCTGCTGGCTGGTCAGCCCAGGGTCTTAACCGCTGAGCCACCGCACTGTTCCCCAAATACTACACCACTGCTTATTTGGTCTTGCTGCTTAAGCTAGGTATGAAAAATCAGAGAAAGCAGCAGCTATCTTAAAGTTGATATACATTCTTTGTATGGCATCTATAATGAGTGGGATCCACGTAAAGAACAGAATGGATATGTGATCATAAGAGAAAAGCAAATAGTAGGCAAGAAATGGATTGAAAGAGGATAGAAAAGAAACTCCTTGCAATGTAATGGATAATACATAAATCCATTAAGCCGTTTTTATTCAAAAGCAGCTTTTATTATAAGCAATTTGTTTCCAAGTACCCCCAGAATCAAGTACAACTTGAATAATGTAACCTGTAACATAATGCTGGCTTTTATTGGAAGAGAAAAATCAAGATTAGATGGACCAATGGAGAAAGTTAAGTTCTAAATCCTACATTTGCCCTATTACTCCTAGCTTTTGCTACACATTACATGGATATAAAACTCCCACTGGGGGAGTATCAGCAACAAACAGCAACGGGTGAATGACTAGCTTAAATTAATGAAGTTTAATACATAGAATCTAAAAGATGTGCAGGATTTTTTCTTTCTGAAGCTCAATCTGGGTGTAGGCAAGAAACAGAACCGAGAAAAAGGTTCCGTTATGTGATTTCTTCCTTCCCGGATAGTATATGAAATCAACCCAGGTTTGAATGCGTTCTTGCACTAATACGTTACAGAATGTCATTAATTACTATTATCTTAGCTCTTCATTTACAATAGATCTGTTCAAAAAAGTATAAACTAGAAATTATGTTGTAAAGTTGCATTTAATTATTAATTCAACATTAATATAGGACCATTTTACTCAGTGCACAGGACAGCTACACCACGCTCATAGAAGCTACGAGGATCTTCCTTGGTAGCAATTTCAAAGTCAACAGTGAAGATCAGATCAGCCCGAGTAAAGTTCAAATAAACGGGCAGGGTCACCTGTAAAAATAAGTTCAGAAGTTGGTTAGGAGGATGGAAATACACACGGAGATTAAAAACAGCACGCCTAGCTGAAAAGCGTTGAGTGAAAAGGCCCCTTTTCTTACCACATTAGACTTTTTATCAGCATTTGTCTGTTTAATCCAGCGAAGTTGAGTTATGGGCAGTACGGTTGAAATAGCATTGGAAAGTGACAGCTTGTTGTTATTACAAGTGGCTCCTTGAAGCTTCAGTCCTACAAAGGAAGTAGGAGAATGCTATTTGAAAGAGCACTGAAGTACATTAAAACTCTGCAATGTTCAAATTCACCATTTCATCTATGAGAGTGTGTGGTTACTGTATAGGTTACATATTCGTTTCAACGAACAGTAGGAATTAACCCATCAAAGAATGACATTAGAAGCATTTCATCAGAATATTTTATGACAGCAATTTTCAGTTCAGTTTCACCAAGTCCAGTTTAAAGTGGCTGAAATGTATTGACTGAAAAGAGCATGCAATGGCTTTAATATATCTATTTGGTTCCTTCAAGGAGTTTAATGCACATTGTTCATTCATTATATTCACATTTTATATTAACAATCATCTTGTAAGATACTTTACACCAAAGAGATGGTGACTTGCCCACAGACACCCAGTTGAGTTTCACCGTTAATTTGATTCTCCATCATTCTCAGTCTGGTACTCTGACTACAGGTAGGCTCGACTTACAACCGTTCATTTAGTGACCGTTCAAAGTTACAGCGGCACTAAAAAAAATGACTTACGGCTGTTTTCACACTTACAACCCTGGCAGCATCCCCATGGCCATGTGATTAAAATTTGGATGCTCGGCAATGTGGTTCATACTTATGACGGCTGCAGTGTCCTGGGGTCATGTGATCCCTTTTGGTGACCTTCTGACAAGCAAAGTCAATGGGGGAAACAAGATTCACTTAACAACCATGTTACTAACTTAACAACTTCAGCGATTCACTTAACAACTGTGGCAAGAAAGGTTGTAAAATGGAGCAAAATTCATTTAACAAATGTTTCACTTAACAACGGAAATTCTGTGCTCAATTGTGGCCATAAGTGGAGGACAACCTGCACTAGGATACAGATCAGGGGTAGGCAACCTTGGCTCTTTTATGACTCGTGGACCTCAACTCTCAGAATTCCTGAGCCAGCATGGCTGGCTCAGGAATTCTGGGAGTTGAAGTCCACGAGTCATAAAAGAGCCAGGGTTGCCTACCTCTGATATAGATTCTCAAATTCTCAGCTTGTAATTCTGTCACATTTTTAAGTGCATAAGGGCCCTCTGCCAGAATATCCCTATGGTGGCTGATCTTTTTTCTTTTTCTTTTTTAAAAAAATATTACTGTAATAGTGAAATATAAACAAAAAGAAAGAAAACAGGAAGAGAACAAAATAACGGCTACCGAATATATATTAAGAGCATTATGAAGACTTTCTGGCAGGACAGGCCCTTCTCTTTCATATGTATCTCCAACTGATGGCCAAGGCTGTACTTTGCATAAAATGATAAAGATCTTCGCTGTTTAAGTCCTAGAAACCATATTCCAAATGTCTAATTTTTGTCTTGTTGTGCAATGTGTTCTATATGAGGGAGCCATTCCAATTTAAATTTGGCTATTGTGGGTATAATCAGTTTAGCCACGGCAGCATATTCTCCAAGTTACAGATTAAATATCCTCTGCAATGTTTCTCTTTTCCAGTATTGTGCCAAGTTTCTTCTTGAAGCTGTCAATATATATTTTAGTAAATTGTAATATTTTAAAATTTTGCTTTCCGAAATTATACCTAATAATTTGATGTAATTTGGTAGTTAGCAATTAATTTTTCTTTATTTATTTGGATCCCATCTTTATTACTTTTACAAATAACTTAACACACCTTCTTCCTCCGTTTGTACCCCAAAACAACTCTGTAACTAGTATGGGCCAGAGTGACTGGCCCAAAGTCACCCAGCTGGCTTTCGTGGCTAAGGCGGGACTAGAACTCACAGGCTCCTCCTTTTAGCCTGGTGCCTTAGTTTAGAAGCTTCCTGAGCAAGTGATCCAAAGAGAAAATGATTTCTTAGCAGCCATTTAAGAATGAGGCAGTTTTCCTCTTTCAATATTCCTTGAAATCAGTCTCCAACATAAGGCACATACAGCTTAACGCGAGAAAATTAACAAGTTTGCTTTCTCCTAACTGAAGAAACAAACAAATGAGCAAAAAGCCGGGGGCAACTAACCAGTTACTCCAAAACTGCAAGCATCCAATACTGCATTCTGAGTGGTGGTAACATTGACTTCCAGGCAGAGTTCTTCCAGGGACCAGCTGTTAGCTTGAGCTACATATTGCCTTGTAGCGGTAATGTAGGCCTCGGGTACAAACAGGCCTCCCAGGCAGACATGGATGTTCTATGGAACAAACGTGTAACTAAGTTAAGGTGATGGATGTCGCATGAAATCAATACTGACAGACAATTTTACTGAGAATCTGAAATTTTCTCACATTTTTATACACCCCAATTTCCTTCTTTGGTTTAATTTTTCTAGAGCACTTGCTGAATTTTATTATCCCCTTCATAGGAATCCTAGGCCAGAATCAAGATTTACTGGGATTTTTTTAATGTTCCATTAACTAACTAGTTAGTTAGCCTTCTCTGCCATTGCCTCCTCATCCTATGGAACATCTTCCCCCAGAGGTGAAGTGCCAACTCAAAGAGAAGCATGCAATCCTGGGGGTGCTTAGTGCCCTGAAGACACTCCTGCCACCTTTAAATTCTTAACTTATCTCTTTTCTTAGCTCCCAGGCTACTGAATTTGGTATGTATTGTAAGGTTACATAGTTTTTATACTTTCATCTATAAACCACTCAGAGTTACTTAGTGAGATGAGTGATATCTAAATTTGATAATATAAACGTTTTAAGTTTAAGCAACACAATTTGTAAAAACATAGTGTTTTGACAATGTAATCAGAACTGTTTTAAGATTGAAATAAGTAAAGTGGTTTTGGGTGCATTTTGCTTAAGTTCGATTGCTTGCCCTGTTCCTCCAGGATACATGCATTTCAATATCTGAAGCCAGAATCGGGAGATCGGTTGTCATAGTCTTTTACAGTAGCACATTTTAAAGGCTTCTTAAATTTTTATTTTCTCTCTTTCATTCAAGCTTTCTACCAAGGACTAAATGTACCCATTCCAATAGTAAAACTACATCCAAATGGAAATGTTACTTCTTTGTAGCATTTTGGGATGAACACTACTGCACTTAACAGAAAATCAATTCTAATCTACCTTTAGTTCCTTTGCACCACCTGAAGCCGCGGCCTGGGAGATATTCTGCAGCTGTTTAATTCGTTCACTGAAATCAGACACCCATTGTATGACTGTCATGCCAGCAGGCACTGTATAGTGAGACCAGCTATGAGGCAATATACCTAAAAGAAAATATATAGTGTGGGTTCTAACTTTTTGTAAACAGAAAGGCCAGAATTTCAAATTCAGAGGCAACCACCCTACAACTTGTATTTAAGCTCCAGTAAAAAGGACACACACATTGAAAATATGAAATATTTGATGGCCTGGTGTGAGTTATTGTTACATTTACATCCTTCTTTAAGGATAGGAATAGGAAACTTTTTTTCCTTTTCAAATCTCAGAATACAGCTCCTCTTTCAACTTAACTTTAAAACTATAGTTTGATCCAACTGAAACTCTAGTAAGTACTGATATTGTTTGTAGGGGGAATTGTTAATGGTGCAGGAAATACTGAATTACAGAAATAATTTTGACCAAAGAGGAGATCACTTTATGGGATAATCCTGCTGTAAAAACATTTGCTAAAAATCAGAACAATGGACTCAATGCCATTGCTGTTTTTAAAATGTCACAATCATTAGACATCTTAGAATAATTAACATTATGAGTTTGTGGAATGTGGTATTATTTACATAACCTTTGAATAATGAACACTTGTAAAATCAAAGTTGTTTTCAAAATGTGAAACTAATTTCTTTGAAGGAAGGTGGTTACAAATGTTACGCTGTAAGCAATTATCTGCTTGGACTTGTTCTATTATTGCCGCATTTTTGGCTGAAAGTCATTGGATTATTAGCATATTGAGAATGCATACATTCTCAACTATATCCCTGTATTTGGAAGCTAACAAAAATTGGGCTAATGGCTAAAAACCATTACTATGCAAGATGGAAAGGATGAATATACACTGTCTTGCCACCATGTTATTTGTAAAGATGTAATAAAATGAAATGTTGATAAAGGAGTAAGGAAGATTTTTGAACAATTTGGTACCCTTTGTTGGAGTTGTATGTATAATTGTAAGGCATTTTTTCCCTTAAATGTTATATCATATATAAAAATCATCTTGTTGATTAGTTTCATAACTTAAGAAAACCCCCAAGAATTGGGTTAATTTACTCCTCAGTGCAAAACAAGCTTTAATAGACCTTTCATAACTAGCAGGACTTTAATTTTTTAATGTAATAAATTTGGAAAAGCCTACCTTTTACCAATTCATTAATAAGCATCCTAAGATAGTTGGTCTGTTTCTTCTTTCCTTCACACACGTGAACTACATCTGCAAGATCTTGGCGAACATCCTGAAGGAGTTTTGCTCCCATTTTCACTTCTCTTTCAAAGAATCTGAATAATGGATCCTTGGTTTCAGGAAGAAAAATAAGATTTTTATAATTTTTATAAATATCTTATAATATTATCTTATTCTACGGCAGCAAAGGGAGTTAGAAGTCAATACATTTTCTTTCTTTTTTCCCCTTTGCCCCACATTTTTATTTTCCCCTTTTCCTCTCTTATTTTCCTACTATTTTCTTTTGTATTTTATATTATAAACGGATAAATAAAAACAAGCAATTTTTGTTATACATTTTATATTTTAAAATAATATCTGTATCTGATTATATGACAGTTTTTGTAAACCAGTGTCTATAAGTGTGATGTATAAGATACTTTTTTGGTCGTTTTTAAGCATTTTTATTTTCATGGACTGTGGTTTAATTTTTTTATTGTTCTTACTACAATATCATTCATATTTTAATAAAGAATATTCTCAAAGTGAATATATAGATAAAAACAGAAATGGGTTTAATGGAAAAAGACTTGGAAAAAAAATTGTAAGTTCGATCTATATATATGTTGATGGCAGCAAGATTACGCAAAAAAAATGGAAGGACACTTTGATTCCTACAATGGAGGAATGGTTGCAAAAGTTGATGGAATTAGAGAGATGGCCAAATTGACTGCTTTGATCAAAGAAAAATACAATTACTTTTGTTTCTACTTGGAAACCGCTTCTGAACTTTGTGCTTGAGGTGAAAAAAAATGAAGCTTTGATTTTGAGTTTTATCGATTAATAGATTTGTTGTTATAGAAATGGCTAGTTTATATTATTATGTAAAAGTAAAAAGTTGAGGTTTGATGCTATTATCTTATTCTACCGCAGCGAAGGGAGTTAGAAGTCAATACCTTTTCTTTCTTTTTTTCCCCTTTGCCCTACACTTTTATTTTCCCTTTTTCCTCCCTTATTTTCCTACTATTTTCTTTTCTATTTTATATTATAAACTAATAAATAAAAATACTTCCTATTTTTTAATTGTTGTGTAGTTTAGATTTTTTTCTTTTAACCTAATTTGAAAAGATGATTTTATATTATTGTGAGAAGCCTGACAAATGTAAGGAGATGTAACTGTTTCTTAAATGTAAGACTGTTTTGGAGGATAATTTTAACAGTTCCATTTTTTTTAAAAACGTGGCACTATTATCTCTGACTCCTCTGCTTTCTTGTAGTGTAGAAAAGGGTATCTGTAAATAAATAACTCCTTGTATTTGCTTAAATAGGTGGGAATGTGCAAATTAGAGTTAAAGCCTTCCTGTATGGAGAATCGCCCTGCGTGTTCTGTATGTTGCTTCTGGTTCTTTTGGAGTACAGATTTGCAAAAAAAAAAAAAAAAATTGTTCTGAAAGGCTCAAGTTTGAAATAGTCCACTTCATGCTCAAAAAAGCCATTTTGTCTTCCAAATGTGATGCCTTATGAAGTTCTATTCTCAAAATGAAACTTTTGTACAATCCTCCAAAGAATAATATTGCAATAAAATAAATAATGGGCTCTTACCTTAATGTTGTCCACAGTTCGTTTTAGATGATTCAGAGTTTGTGGGATGAGATGGAGCCAGTTGGAAGCCGTAGTGTGTAGCGTTCGCATCCAGGAAGGGCGACCATCTGATGTAGAATCTGTTCGTGCTTTTTTCTCTGTCTCTGCATAGGCTAAATCATCTTCATCCTCCAACATCTGCATTTTCAGCATTTTACTGATCATATCAATGCCTGAGAGGAAGAAGACAAAGTGCTATGGCCATGCATTTTGCTTTAATTAATGCATAATTCAGTTTTTGCAAAACTCTTCAGTTGTTTTATCGTATACTGTTTGTATTTGGCCATGCATTTTTTAATGAGATTTGCAGAGTTACACTTAATAGGTTGAGTATGCTATATCTTGGTTTTCAGAATTCATTCCCTGTTTGACTACCCATTTTATGTCTAAATTTTCAGCATACATACCTCACTGATGAGGCTTACAAAACACCACTATAAGTGATTGTTTAAAAAATACCAGGATGCTTCTTATTCAGTTATTCCAATATGCAGAAAATTGTTTTATACATGAAAGCCTTATCACTTATAAAGACGAAGCAAGATGTTTACCTTGTGTGGTGAGAAGAACTTTCTCAGCATTATTTGGTAATCCAAGCCAGGAGGGAGTTTGCGTATCTGGCAGCAATTCAACCCACTGTACAAATTCTTCACGTCTGTCAAATCAACAATTCCAGATAGTGACCAAGACATTCATAACTACACGGAATACATGAGATAACTCAGTTTAACTCATGCTTAGTTTTAGAAAGAAAATGTTAATACCGGATTCCATCTGGCATCTGAATATCTTTATGCCCATCAACTTTGGAAGTCAATTTGAATTCACTGTCAAAGCTTAGTGTGGTGAAGAGTCGCTCCAGGAAAGTATTCAATAACCGTTGGTCAAATTCGTTATCAATGCGGCCGCCATAAATTGACTGAGCCATCAGTGTCTTCAGGGCAGACCATGGAATCTTGTCAGGCGAGATGTTCTGACGACCCTGACATTGGAGACATTTTTGTGAATAAAAGGAACAGCTAACGCATGATAAAGCCTACATGGGCAATGTTATTAACAAGAACTAGTTTAATAAAATAGTGCTGACCCTTGACTAGGAGATTTTGTCTCCTGAAATAAGGGATGCTCAGCATCTGGAGTACATAGCTTGGTTACAGTAATTAAGTGTTTTTACTGGTTTGCTGTTATTTTGCTTGATCCTTAAGTATCTTACTGCCAAATGGGTGGCCTATATATGAATTATGTAAGCAAAAGCCCTTGGCTATCCGTTTCAATCAAATCCAATGGATATGGGTGATGTTAAGTCCAATATAGGAATGATATATACTTCCTTCTGATGCTTGAACAAAAGATAAGATATAATCAAAACTGTTCATGTCATTTGACTATCTTACAATTATTAGATTTGTCCTTTTTTAAGAAGTAAAATTTTTGCAATCATTTTACAAAGGAATAAAATGGGAATTCACTTACCTTTGCTGTATCATCAAGCCATGTATCTACAGTATCACATGCAGATCTTAAATCAGATTCTCCAAATTCGTATTTTTTTGACCATCCAAGAGGAGCATATCGCAGACGTTCTTGAATAATAGCATGGAACCATGCAAGAAGGAAATAGAGACGTGCACGCTCGTTTGGTGACTAGAGAGGAGAAAAACCAATGTGTTATTATTTGGGGTTCAATGGAAAAAAAGAGCAATCTATTTAATAGAATACAGTAAGACTTTGCTTGAGATTGAGTATATCTTCTAATTCTGCATCATTTATTTCAGATGAAAAAATCAATCCTTTTCCTTATTTGCTGTATTTTATTTTAAGGTACTTGATGTATAAATCCATTCAGATGAAGAAAGGGCTTTTAGAAGAGGATATAATAAAAAAGTCAAATTATGTGTTTATCTTCTAAACAAATGGTACTTATTTTACTTTTGTTATTTCTCCAAGCTTAAAAGAGTCTGATTTTTACTGATTTAGAATATAAAATGGCTGGGGTATTCTGTATCTATGAACCAAATGGAAATTGTTGCATGATCCGCAACAGCTACTCTGAGTAAAGTTCAGAGTAAAGCTTCTTAATGGATTAATTCACTAATACTTTTTAGTAAAACCATATTTATTGAAATGTTGAGTAGTTTAAAAACTTACCTTGCACATTCTAGACACAGGAATGCTGCTAAAGGTTCTCAGCATATTGGCCTTTACACCAGGTGGTGGTTCAAATACAAAAATTCTTCCAGCACGTAACAAGTTTACTGGCACCTGAGTACAAAATACATTATCCAAATGTACAGTGAGAAATGTATTAATCAAATTTATACGGTCGTCAATCTCATGGGTAATGATTATGGAGCACTTGCAATAATCTCTTATTTGGGGAAATGCTCTTTGTCCCCAAACTTGTACTGTTAGAGAAACTAAAATGATTCAGCTGTGCTGAACTTTTAATTTATGTTAGCATGGAGTAACTTTTCAATTACAACTAACATAAATAAAAAACACTAGAATAGAATAGAATAGAATAGAATAGAATAGAATAGAATAGAATAGAATACTTTATTGGCCAAGTGTGATTGGACAAACAAGGAATTTGTCTCTGGTGCAAACATTTTCAGTGTACATACAAACAACAAAGTAATATAATCATAAGATCCCAATAGAAGAAGGTAGTAGAAAAGATGAGAAAGATAATAGTAATACAGCCATACTAAATGGGTAAATATCCTTAGACATAAATCTTGATATTACATCAAGATCTAATATGGAATAGACAACAAAAATGTTTGAAGAAGTTAATGCAGTATTCTGGGGTTCGTTCCATATTAAATTCACTTTTGACATTTTTGAGCATACAAAGAAGTACTAATTTCTCTTGTTTAATAGAGAGAAAATGAATTATGCACAACAGGACAGAAACCTCATAGAATGAGGATAAACTTCTTTTTCACAACAGCAGAATTTTGAAAGAAATGTGATGGTTATTTTTTTGTACTCTGCTTACTTTTGGATTAATCTCCATTGTAAGGAACAATCTAAAGCATGCATGGGGCTGAAGGGAATGCAGCTTCTTTTCCAGTTGCATCAGCCATCCAGGTGCCAAGTGGACATTCTTCAACATGACCCACCTGAAATATATATTTAAAAATAAAATCCAAAGAGATTTATGCTTCAGAGGTCTGTATTATACTCCAAAACTGATCCAATGCAAATCCTACCATTAAGAAGAACCCACCTGCCTGACTTCACTGCAGTATTGATTGCTTTATCAGCTTGGTTAAATCCTTCAGCAGAACCTAAAAGGACAACATTACCATATTAGAACTAGGTACCTGTCTTCCACAGCATATGATATGACAAAATATATGAAAATGTTACCAATAGCAATAGAGGTGATCTGTGTATTTTGCTCTGCAGCAAGGTCTTCAACATGTCCACTAGCATCATAGCCAGGTACAGAGCACATCAAAACAGGTGTATTAGGCTTCACCTAAAATCCAGGAGTAGGAGAGAAACAAAAAGGGAAAATCAACTATGTCTGCTTCACAGCCCTCTCTTGCTCCAAAGTTTGCTAAGAAGTTTGCAGTTTTTCTAGCACTGATAAAATTTCATCTCTGAAATGTCAAAAGGGCTACAATTTCAATTGCAGAAAGCTAAAACCATTTTAGGTAGACAGAATGATTTGTACCCTCTGGATCCCAGCTACTTTTTTTATACCTCTCATGTTGTATCATTACAAAAAGCCATTTAACAAATACAAAAATAATCAACATTCAGTGCAACATTTGCTTTAACAGACTTTAAAGCAAAGCATCACCTGTACTTAATCTATGTGTGATTCTGGGGACCAAGGTAGGGGGGGAATTAAAATTTTTACTTGCCTCAGTATCAACAATGTGCGCCAGATCCAAAGGCTGCTCCATAATGGACATAAAATTTTCTCCAAGATTTGTGGAAACAAACTGATGTGCCATTGCCAATAAACGATCAGGGCGGAAAGCTTGGATCAAAAGCAAGCGGTGTAGGGCCTGTCCAATGGGTGCTGAGATTTAGAAAAAGGAAAAATAAAACAAAACATTCATGTTGTGTTTGGATTGTTCCAGACAATTCAAGACTAAGGTTACGGCAATAGCCAACATGTTTCTGTTTCTTTCTCTCCAAGGAAATAAGGATGGGTAAGGAAACAGGAGGTTTAGGAACAAAACTGCTTGCATCTTTAACTCCTCTCCATCTCCCACCACATGAAATTGTGCAATTTGATTTCAGAGTGTTTAGAGAGATCGAGCCCTAGTTTCATAGAGGCCTCCTGATGATACTCCATATAAAACTTAGGTCCAAAAACATGTTTTTCCTGGTGATGTCACTGGAAGGTCTCCTCCAGCTTTTTAGAAAATCATGAAACTACATGACAGCCTTTGATCTTGCAAATATTGTCTAACACTGATCTAATACAACACTTAGGTTTTATAATATTTCGTGTGAAAACTAAAAAAACCCTTTAATTCTAAGAGCATCTCTGTGATAATGGGTTATAAAACAGGACCTTTTCTGTCAATTTTATTTGTTCATTGCTCACATGATTCTTGGGCAAGTGGGATTACATTTTAATTCCTGTGGAGGAAAAAAAGGAAGAGGAGAAAAAACCCTGTGTCAACGAAGGTATGCAACTGTCCCACATACAGATCTGGTGAATTGTCCTTGATGTTATCCATCATCCATTACTCAAGGCTACAGCAATTTCTTTAGGAATGATGTTATGTGTTCTCTAAAAGATGTTGCAGACACTAGCATCAGTTCTGAATCAGTTCTGACCAGCAGGTAATACAAACTTCTGCCTGTCTCCAGAAGGAGGTCAAACACAGCCTGTGAGCCAGCTAATCTTGGCAAAAGGTTTTCTAAGTCCACCAGGCCTTGAGTAATAGATGAATCCAGAACACCAACTCTGCATACCTATTCCTCTAAGGAAGATACTGTTCCATTCAGAGTCAGAGATACACTGATTCCAAAATACATGGGCTAATAATGCACGTTGACTCCATCTTATCAGGATTCACTTTTAAGGGTACTGACATTATAAAGACAATGCACCTGCTTTTCTACTGATAACAGCTTTATTGTAGACTATTAGTAAGTCTGAATGGTCCTGAGTTATATATTTCCAGAAACACTAAACCCCACTAATCCCTTTAGTCACTGTCAATCAAAATCAGGCATTTACAAGGAATTACTTGCTGATATAATACTGATATACCATTTTGAAGGTCTGTTTTTCGGTATTCAAAATCAACCAATTAATTTCACAAACAATTTCTTACAAATTAATTTGATATTATCCTTTTCCTGACATGTTACATTTGTCTTCTTCCTGCAATTTCTTCTGGTGAGTGTTCCACAAATATCTAACGAAGCAAAACTGAGATGGAAGAAATATGAACCTACTTGCAGTTTTGTCTTCTGTCCAAAGATGGGGTACAGTCTGCTCTGGTGAACTGCTATCCAGCCAAATGCAGAATTGCTGTAAGTCAGATTTAGTTAATAATTATTATTTCTGAGCAACACATAAGAATCTGGTATTAATTCTAAGACCAATGCATTTCTTCACATGAAGTCAGATCAAGGATGATCGCATTTCCCTAAGGAATATGTTCTCTGTATGATAAGAACATGTTTTTATACTTAGTAATATACTTTTCTGATTAATATACAGTTCAGTCAGCATAAGCTATCCAACCCTCATATTGGTAATAATGTGTATGAAGTGAAGTTGGAAATAAGCTGCATATATACAATGGTCTAAATAGAAGGAAATGTTCTTATTTGCATTAATAGTTCACTTTAAAATTCAATAGTTTAGACATATGAAAGGATAGTCTTACATCATCAGCTTTGATTTTAGAAACAAGATCCTTAAATGAAGAAAGACAGCTCAGTCTCATCATAGCTTCCACCTGTTCTAAGGTCAGGCCGCTGATTTTGGGGAGAATCGTATTGCTGAGAACAATTTCTTTCCCTCTTAGGAAATGCTGGAATTCTGCATCATATGTAGGCTCCCTTCAATGGAAACAGAAGAAAATCCCACTGAGAACAATTCTCTCAAAGATAAAGAAACCTAACTACCCCCTAAGTATAATTCTCTGGGTTACTGATACGAACAAGAAACCTGGGAAAATCATTACTTCAGCTTATGTGCGTATGTCTGCTGTATGAATAGTGGTTTAAACATGACAAATAATCTTTTGCGAGAGATATCAGATAAAGGTTAAACCATGCTTTTCATTCAGTTTTTTTTTTACAGCAAATCCAAATGGGCCTTTCTGACATTGTTTTTATTGATTTGAACAGAGATATGGAATTACCTGTGTCCCTCTGTCATCTTAGGTTGCACGAATTAACTTTAAATCTATAAATGCTAAAGCTGGATACAACTTTAGTCTGACTTTTGGAGTGCTTTTTTGTTTTGCTTTTCATGAAATTCCCTATAACTCTTAAATTTTGGAAAGATTTCACTCTTTAATATTGACTTGCTTATTAGTAAGAGAACTTGCTTACCCTATAGTGCCTTTCAGTTTTATTCTAGCCAACAGCATTGCAAAGGTTATGTGATCCTGATGTAGCATGCCACGAGCAACTCTATTGAATGCCACCTAGAGATACAACATTAGGAAGATCAGCTTTGTAGAAAGTTTGTGAACAGGAAAAAAAAATAAATCTCTGAAGTGTTTTGAAGTACAAAATGCCTCTACTTAACCTGGAACAGATCTTTTGTGATAATGGAAAGACGTTGGGTATGGTCCGTAATTCCCTTCAAATTGGGGTTTTCATATAGGACATTATGATAGATATCCAGGAAAAACTGAAGAGAGTACTGATTCAGGAAGTGTATCTAAGGTAGAATTCAAATGGAATAAGAATGTTAAAAGCAACATATTGACTTGAATGGAAATGGCGTCTTGCAGCATTTAAAAAAAAAAAAGGTAATCCGAGAAAGGGAAACCTAAATTAACCCCCTGTACCTGCTTCAATGACTCCATTGTGAAGTAAATACTGCTGCATGCAGTCGAAAGTGGGAGGTATTGCTGAGACACTGTTTCCACCTCTTGCATGACAATATCTGTTTCTTCCACTTTTCTAGTAACCTCAGCTGCCTCTTTCTTCAAGTTCTCCAAAGTGGTTATGATGGTATCATCATCCAAGATACGTCCTTTTACTTCGTTGAGGGCTTGGAGAAGAGATTTTTCTAGCTGCCGCAAACGCAGCTGGAATTCACCTTTAAGAATAACAGAGGCCCTTAAATAAAACTTGAATCACATTCTGACATCTTACCTTTTAACAGAGTGGACACAAAGCAACAGCAAAAAAAATTACTAACGCTTTTTATTTTTTAATAGAGATGAGAATCATTTATGAGTCTGAACTGACAATTGCTAGGAAATTCCTAAATTTATTAAGTTTATGTGCCACCCAGAGTGAGAACAGCATATAAAATACATATATTTTGGATTCTATTTAATTTTGAACTTTGGAATATGGGTTGGTCTTACAAGAATAATTTTAAACAACGCAAAGCAATTTTAAGCATCCTGCCTAATCTAATGTAGTTTTTCTAGAAGCATAAATAAGGTATCTGTGCAAATAAATGTTAATAATTAAAGGGTTTTTTTTTAGTGATGGAAGTTTGTTTAGGAAAATGATTTTTTAAAAAGAGACTTAACAAGGAAATGAGACCAGTACTCTTTTTAACTTGTTCTGAAAAACAAGAATCTGACTTTTTGAGTTCTGCTCTGGTAACCATATTTAATAGAGCTGAATCTCAAACATCCAGGTAGGTCTATTTGCTAATGAAATTGATATCGGTACTGTTGTAGAACAGAAACAGGATTCGATTCTTTTCTTTCTGCAGCTCTCTAGGTGCTAAAAATGTTGGAGATTTGGTTTTTCAGTGACTATACCTTGAAGTTTGAGGAGATCAGAACGTTTCTCATCCACATCTGGTCTTTCAGCTTTCAGTACCTCATTTAGGCATTGGCTCTGTAAGCTGCTACGAGTTACTGTGAAGTTGACAAATGTCACACGAGAACAGAGATCTGGTGGAAACTCAACCTATAAAACAAAAACATTCAATGTAACCTTTAAATAGCCTTCCCTATCCACTGCCATCAACTACTGGTCTTGTAAAAACAAGTTTATTCCTTACTGTTGGGTCTCGGGTGGAGAGGAATATTACAAATGATGGTGATAAATCAATATCTTGATCTCCCAAAGTGATAAGAACTCGACCACCAGTTCTACGGACTTCACGGTTCAGTACAGGATTCAGAACAGGGTCATAGCTCTCCACATCCTGGACAAGATGACAAAGTGATCAGGCATACATGGAATCAGTAGAGATAAAATCCTCTTGAACTACTTTCTGAAAGAAAGCTACGACTTGCTTAATGACTGCAATGCTTAGTGATCAAAATTTCAGGCCCAATTGTGCTTATAAGTCAAGGATTACCTAAATTTTTTTTGGGGATAGTCTATTTACTTTGAAGAAAACTAGATTTTCCCCCCAAAATAATTTACTCAGATTTGCGAACAATAAGTTAATGAAGATTGTTTTTCTTATCCTGTCTTCTGTTTAGATAGGTAAAAGTCTTAAATTCAGGCTCATCTTTTTTAGAGAAATCTAACATTTGAATAAGTTGAATCTTTAAAAAATGTAGTTATATCTGCTAATATACTATCCTCAACACATGGAAAGGAAAACAGGCATGATAATGTGACATCATGATCCAAGCCAAGCTTCTTTTGTAGAGGGCTTGTTGTTTGTAGCATGTGTGAATATAAGGGGAGAGAACTCTGACTGCAACACTGCAAACAACATTTTATGTTTTGATGACTCCAAACTTTTTGCTCAGAACTGTTTAAATTTTTCAATAACATTCACTGATGGAAGCCATTATAAGATATATTTATTCTACAACCTAAATTTTGCTTACCAATTACAAGAAATAGCATGAATTTTAAGACACAAATTTTAAGTAAGTTCAGAAATAATATAGCTTAGGACGAAAAGAGACATTCTTGTCAATGTCTTATCAGCCCTGGTTGCTTATTATTAGCCCTGGTTGCTAAGTGCTTTTATTTCAGTGGTTTCATGAGGTAGGCTTGGGTATCTCTAGATCCTGTTCCTTTCAATATTACATGGGTTCCATATTACTGATTGTACTTACATTTTTTTCTGCACTTGAATTACAGATAAGTGCTGTTTGTTTTCATAAAAGTAAAAATGATATGAACTCTCCTTAGTTTTTGAAGGCAAAACATGCAACAGCAACAAACCTGGACAAGCAGAGGATTACCAAATCGCAGGGCACTTTCCAAATTCTTTCTGAACGCGTCATCCAAAAAGCTAGTGCGAGTTATTTTACGGTCCTTGTATTCATTCATGATGAATTCTGTAGCTTGGCCCGAAGGATCGATAATTAAGGGATACCTAAAATATAATTTCTTAAGTTTTAAGGAAGCTAACAAAAGAATATTTTTACTCCATATATTCACTGGAGTCATTTTTCAAAAGAGAGTTTAATAATATTGTATTAAGATTTTTTTTCAATGCCATCACTATTAAATTCATGATTCGAATTCATGATGTATGCTGGAAACTGAATGATAAAAGCTTCATTTGTTAATATTCACCAAAAATAATTCTGTTGCCTTTACATTTTACTTCTTTGAGCTTCCAAATTTCTATTTAATCTGCTATTCTATTGAATGTTGCGCTTCTAACAGGCATACCACAGTCAAACACAGTCTGACTGCTACTTGGGAATAGTGAATATTTATTTAAAGCATGTAAGATATATCTTTGAAAATTCCATTTTAAACTATGTTAGTGTCTAATCTGTTAAAACATAATCTTCAGATATCTAATGAATACTTAATATAATTTTGCCCGTCTTCTTATAAACCTCCCAAGTGGCCTAGACATTTTGTAATTATTCTTAAATAATACTTGAACTGATTGATATCTTGAACTTTTTGGAACCATTAATCACATGGGAAGGGATTGCTGAGAGTTGCTGTTAACTTTTTGGATGAGAATTTAGATGATTTTCATCTTATGAAAATAAGATGATTTTCATGATTTCATGATAAGATGATTTTCATCTTAGATGGCATATTTTTCTTTAACAAAACCAGTATCATTGGTTTATTAAAACAGTGGTACAGCAATGCACACTGTTTTTGGAACATATTTCCCTGGGAATGACTTTCTTTCATGATATAGGAAATATGATACATAAATGTATTATTCCCAGTGCTATTCTTAGGGGAAAAGATGCCTACAATTATTAGCCATTCTCTTCATACTACATCAGAAGATTCTTGGAAATGCCACAGTATCAGAATATTTATACAACATCCTGTCCTAGGAGTATAGCAAAAGTAATGTTCTTTCCCCTAGAAATAGCTGAAAATCATTCAATCACAGGAACAAAGGTTTAGGCAGGAATAATTACAAGTGTTAATAGTGTTTTTCTAAACAGGTTTTTGGATGAAAATGCCTGATGAAAAGTAAAGTACCTGTTAAATCTCTTGAGCATAATTGCATTTTCTGTGCACAAGTCATCTGCAGGGAGAGAACTTGCTTGCCAGCGAAGACGTTCATCTGCATTCGACAAGTATTCTGTTCTAGCAATATCTGTACGGAACTGTAAAATGAGGATTATGGTTTACTTAAGAAAAGCCAAGAATTGACAAATACCTGTGGGTTAATAAATGTATTTGTTCCCTTTCTACTACTACTGTGATTTGTTTTACCCTCATAAAATATTGTTAACCCTTCAGCAATATCCTTTATCCACTGATTGAAATTTGGATCCAAGTATACGTATCTTTAATCAAAATGGGGCAAGTATTGGAGAAACATACCGTATTTTCTGGCGTATAAGACGACTTTCTAAACCCTGAAAATCTTCTCAAAAGTCGGGGGTCGTCTTATACGCCCAGTCGTTTTATACGCCGGAAAATACGGGTATTCAGGCAGGCTTCCAGAGTTCGGCTGGCAGGATGCAGGTAACCCCTCCCCCCGTCCTGCCGCCTCCCGCCGCACCGCGTCCCGCGCCTCTGTGTCTCAAGCCTCTGTGTTATGCTTGGGCGGAAGACTTTTTCTTTTACAGATGGGGCGGGTGGGCCTGACATTTGCGCGCAGGCAGGACCCCGCCCGCCGAGCCACCGCTTCCCCATCACCCTCCACGCCAGCCTGCTCCGTCTCCAGACCTCCCAGCTGACGGGCGCAGGTCCGGGGGTCGCCAGCTGACGGGCGCAGGAGTTCGGCGCTGCAGCGGCCTCCGCTTCACCCTCCGCACCGGCCAAAGCGTTGCCTGACGTTTCGGCCGACGGACGCAGGTCCGGGGGTCGCCAGCTGACGGGCGCAGGAGGTAGGCGCTGCCGCGGCCTCCCAGCCGCTTGCTTCTTCGCCTGGAGCAGTTGCAAGGGCTTGCATGGTCGGCGGCGGCGGGGAGCGCGTCAGCGGCCCTTGGGGACCATGCAAGCCCTTGCAACTGCTCCAGGCGAAGAAGCAAGCGGCTGGGAGGCCGCGGCAGCNAATTGTGAACTTAGAAATACTGTATTTACTATAGGCTGCAGAAAAAAAGAACCCTTCTTTAAGGATACTAGTTTATGTATTGATAAACATTTCGATCAGAATACATTCTTTTTCATAAAAACAATCACTAGAGGTTAAGGCCCCAGGTTAGAAATCAGAAGATGGTGAGTTCCAGGCCTACCTTAGTCATGGAAGCTGGGTGGCTGATTTTAGGGCAGTCACTCTCTCTCGGCCCAATTCACCTCAAAGGATTTGAGAATGCTGCTAATCACTGTATATTCAGATATCCATATAAAGGTATGTGCCAGATGCCTCCTTTTCTGGAAGTTTTTTCTCCCATTTTTCTTTTAGCAGTTTCTCTGAGAAAGGCGGCTGTCTGGAAACAATCTAGCTCTTTGTTATCACAACCAAGGACAAAGAATTATCAGAGATGAGTTAGAGGTAAGGTAACAAGTCACTGCATCTTCAGTTGCCTTTACAGTTGTCCTAATGGATAACGATGGGCCTTTCACTATGGCACCTATAATATCTGTTTTTCAAAACCGAAAAGCTAAATGTACTACTAATTGAAGCATTTGTGTAGATCTTTGAATATTTGAAGGGTTTTATCTAATGTTGGCTGAAGTCTTTTTATAAATGCTTGCCTCATCAGTTTTTGACGCTACGTAAGGCATAAAAAATATTGTGTTTGTTTGGTTGTCAGGATGGATGGAAGCATTTATGGAATTTCTGCCCCAGAGACCAAAATGATTTGGATGAACCTCTAGCATGATTCTGGAGAGTGGTTAATATGCTACTTTTCTTCATGAGCAAAATGTCCTAGGCCATCCTTGTTAGCACAAATTCATGATTTCTGCCCATTTTTACAATACTGTTTTGTTATTTACAATAGTTTATTTTAAGGTGCACATAAAAAACAAAACAGAGATTAAATGGATATACATACCGTATTTTCCGGCGTATAAGACGACTTTCTAAACCCTGAAAATCTTCTCAAAAGTCGGGGGTCGTCTTATACGCCCAGTCGTCTTATACGCCGGAAAATACGGGTATTCAGGCAGGCTTCCAGAGTTCGGCTGGCAGGATGCAGGTAACCCCTCCCCCCATCCTGCCGCCTCCCACCGCACCGCTCCGCGTCCCGCACCTCCGTGTCTCAAGCCTCTGTGTTATGCTTGGGCGGAATACTTTTTCTTTTACAGATGGGGCGGGTGGGCCTGACATTCGCGCGCAGGCAGGACCCCGCCCGCCGAGCCAGCGCTTCCCCATCGCCCTCCACGCCAGCCTGCTCCGTCTCCAGACCTCCCAGCTGACGGGCGCAGGTCCGGGGGTCACCAGCTGACGGGCGCAGGAGTTAGGCGCTGCAGCGGCCTCCCCTTCGCCCTCCGCACCGGCCAAAGTGTTGCCTGACGTTCCAGCTGACGGGCGCAGGTCCGGGTGTCGCCAGCTGACGGGCGCAGGAGGTAGGCGCCGGCGCGGCCTCCCAGCCACTTGCTTCTTCCCCTGGAGCAGTTGCAAGGGCTTGCATGGGCGGCGGCGGCGGGGAGCGCGTCAGCGGCCCTTGGGGACCATGCAAGCCCTTGCAACTGCTCCAGGCAAAGAAGCAAGCGGCTGGGAGGCTGCGGCGGCGCCTACCTCCTGCGCCCGTCAGCTGGCGACCCCCGGACCTGCGCCCGTCGGCCGGAACGTCAGGCAACGCTTTGGCCAGTGCGGAGGGCAAAGCGGAGGCCGCTGCAGCGCCGAACTCCTGCGCCTGTCAGCTTGCAACCCCCGGACCTGCACCCGTCAGCTGGGAGGTCTGGAGACGGAGCAGGCTGGCGTGGAGGGCGATGGGGAAGCGGTGGCTCGGCGGGTGGGGTCCTGCCTGCGCGCGAATGTCAGGCCCACCCGCCCCATCTGTAAAAGAAAAAGTATTCCGCCCAAGCATAACCTTTAAGGATTTTAAGGATCTTTGAGAGGGAGAGAGAAATAGAGGGAGAGAAAGAGGGAAAGAGAAATAGAGAGAGGGAGAGAAAGAGGAGAGGGAGACAGGGAGAGAGAAAGAGGGAGACAGGGAGAGAGAGAGAGAAAGAAGGAGGGAGAGGGAGAGAGAAAGGGAGACAGGGAGAGAGAGAAAGAAAGGGAGACAGGGACAGAAAGGGAGAGAGAAAGAGAGAGGGAGGGAGAAAGAAAGAGAGAGGGAAAGAGAAAGGGAGAGAGAAAGAAAGAGAGGGAGAGAGAGAAAGAAAGAAGGAGAGAGATTAAATTAGTAACATGGCTGGCTGTTCAGTGAATCTGGTTTCCCCACTAACTTTGCTTGTCACAAGTTTGCAAAAGGTGATCACATGACCCTGGAACAATGTGACCATCATAAATAAGAATCGGTTGCCANGTCTTATCCTTCCTTTCAGCTTTAGAATGAATTAGGAAAAGTTTAATCCACTTGCACTGTTTTATGTTTACATGTTTGATGACAAACAGCCTTATGTTTATAAGTGACAGTTTTCCTGCTAAGTACCTGCATGTCATAAGCATTTGAATTAAAATTACCATATTGAAATCAAATCTGTTTTTTAATTTTTATTTGGTGTTCGTTGGAACAGGGGTAGTCTTATACGGTGAGTATAGCCCAAACTCTATATTTTAACTGGAAAAGTTGGGGGTTGTCTTATACACCCAGTCGTCTTATACGCCGGAATATACGGTACTCCAAATGATCCAGGCTGTTCAGCTGTAAATACTAAGGCTAACATATATCAAGGAACAAGATACTGATATGGCATTCCAAGCTCCAAACAGTTGGTACATCATGCCACACAATAAGTGATTCAACTGTTTGTAACAAATGGTGAATGATTTTATGATCCATGAATGTTTTTTTTTTTTTACCTGAATATTTGCCTGCTGTAAGTGATGGGACCATGTTGTGAACAGGTTTTGCCGCATCTGCTGGTCAAAATAACCAGCATAAGCAATAAATGCTCCTGAGAGCAAACAGTCTCCTGCAATTGTGGACATCTGATTCTTGAAGGTTTCACTTGTTTTCTCCCATCTTTCACGTTCAGCGGACAAGCTCTTCAAAAGAGCTGTGCTACGATTTACCTGGAAGTGAAGCAATTAATATATTCAAACAAAATCCAAACTCAAAATTTTTGTTGTCATTTCATGGAAAACACTATTATTAAAAACTTGGCCCTAACATAATATCAGTGGGAAATGGGAGGCAAGAGAGAAACAAGAGCAAAGTATAGAGCTCCAGGAAAACTGCAAGAAATTTTAATCATAGCTGAGAATAGTTCTGCAGCATATCATAAACTGTGATTAGCATCAATATTACCCTTTCCCATTGGTCTTCTATTCTTCAAAGAGGCCTCCAATCAGTACAGATAGTCCTGACTGCCACTGTAACTGAGATGTGTAGGCTATTGAGTCTCAGATAAGAAAAGAGGGAGTGCCAAAGGTAGGAGGCGATGGCCTGGGAGACTTGGTGCCGACCAGGCACAAATTGGGGGAAGGGCAGTGCTGCGGGAAGGAGTGAGTGTAGGAAGGTCGGATGTGGGAAGGAGAGCATAGTGCGTGTGAGCAAAGAAAAGCCAGGAGTGCGGGGAGACTTATGCAACTGATCTGTGACCTGTCAGCGTTCCCATTGTATTTGCTTGTGGGAAGCTGGCAGGGAAAATCACATAAATAGTGATCACATGATTGTATGACACTGCAATCTGGTTTTAAGTGTGAGCTGGTTATAAAATGCCCAAATTTTGTTCACATGATCATGGGGGGCACTGGCCAAAACTTTAAGGACCTTTGAAGTCCTTTTGTTCAACATTGTCATTAACACTGAATGGTTGCTGAATGAATGTTAAGTGAGGACTACCTGTTCTGAAACTACAGTATAGAAGTCAAAACAAGTGTCTTAAGACTCATGTTGGTCATTTAAAATGGAATTCAGTGCTCACAAGAAAAATAAAAGCCTGACTTTGGTCTAATCAGAACTTAACAAAAAATTAACAAACATTTAACAAAAAGTGGCAGTCTCACTTTTGCTTCCACAGCAGCTAGATCTGCCTTAATGGCCTGAGCTTCAGAAATCAGTACAGCATACTCCTCCTTGTAACGAGCAATGCTGGTCTCCAGGTCTCTAATCATCTGCTCAACTTCATTGGCCTTCTGCTGGTTGTCTTTGGCATCGTCCTCAAGTTTCTGCAGCTCATTCCTCAGGGGCTCTACTCGCTTCAACATGTCAGCATAGTTCAACTGGAAGAAAGAGCAGGCACTCAATTTCCAGACAATTTGGGATGTTAACAGTCCTCCAAAAGCCCTCATATAAACAGTCTGATGTGAGAAAGTTGCTAAGATGAAACCCAGTGGATTATTTTCACTGAAGAAATACTTCTTGTTTGTGAAACTGAATGGGAGGAATTCTTCCTCCCCCATAGAAACCCACCAACTCCAGCACTGGGGATCTGCAGAGAGATTTTGAAGATGTGTACAGAGCTATGGATTTGTGTGGGAAGGACACATTGGAGAAGGAGAAAATTCCCCTCAAATCTAAAAGTCTGCAACTTCACTCTTTGATTTTTGACAGTAGGCATGCTTAAGGAAGATGGATGTATTTCAGCACTAAATTATACTATAAAAAACTGAAATAAATTAGAATAGAATAGGGAGAGTCGGTTTACCAGTTTTGAATGGCACTGAACGGGCACTTCCCTTTCTGTTCTACAAATACTTGACAAAACCTGCTTGGTACTGTTTTCCATTTTTTTTCCTTTTGGTCCTATTTAGCATTTTCATTTGTTTCTTTCTTTTTATCCAAAACTGCTTTTTCCACAAAGCATTTTGCTTTCCTCTCACTGTTTTATCAACTTTCAGGAATCAAAAAACCTACTGCAGCCCCAGCTTCTATCTCTTATTTTGAAAATATGATCTTTCCAAACAGATTTCTTACCTGTGCAATAGCCCATTTTACCATAGGTCCACAAGCCAAAGATGCTCTGTTCACAATTTCATAATTGTAGCTTGGATTTGATAAATAGTTCTTCTTCATCTTCTCTCGGATGGCATCACTAGAACAGCAAAAGAGTTTAAAGAACCATACAGGCAAATATTCAATATACAAGTTCCAATTGTGCAACTATCACCATCACCATATTAAATAGAGCTAAAACTACAAATACCTTATATCTTCAATATTAAAGTTGACAATGCTGCTGATGAAATTATCTCTGATAATAACTGGCCTGATCTTTTTCCAGTCACTTGTCTCCTCACCCAACAAGAGACAAATTGATTCTAAAGCCAGTTTTACTGCATGAGGTGGATTGGCCATAGTTCTTACTTCAATAAGATGTTGTTTCTTTATAGAGCTCACCGCTATTAAGGGATGGAAAAAAGCACTGAGCATGCGACATACATTTCAGGCTGCCGATGGGAATGGAGAATGAAATTTAGTTCAAAGACTGCAGTTTTATTACTGTTGTAATAATATATGGGCTGCTGTAAACAACAGTCTCCATTTTGGATCTCACAGACCCCAAGAAGTCTTCATTAACCTGATACAGGTTAGAGATGGAGGGCAAGAAAGTGACATTGTAAATAAATGATTCTTTCTGCCTAAAGATTTAGCAAAATCAGCTCTTCATATTTTGTATTTGTAATCTGGTCATCTTTCAGAAGTCTCTGTGAACAATTTCATTCAGTTCCCAGAAGCAGCTAAAATACATTTCCAAATTATTCACCTGATCTCCTCAGCAGAAAAGTTTACAATGGTTGGGATGAAGTTTTCCCTCATTATGATAGAACGTATCTGTTTCCAATCAGTTGTACTTTCACCCAAAAGCAGACAGATCGATTCTAGTGCCAGCTTCACTGCCGCAGGTGGATTCGCCATAGAACGGACCTCCACCAGATGTTGCTTCTTTATTGATTTAACAGCTAAGCAGGAACAAACCCAATCAGCCAGGCGTGAAAGAAAATGATTTAGGAGAAAACAGCAAAAAGCAAATTCAGAGATGATTTGAACAATTTTAATCTTACATACAGACACACACACACACACACAAATCAATTTTAATTTAAACAAATAATTTATAGGTAAAATCTGTAAGATTTTTCTGGTAGCTCTAGTAGTGCCCGTAAAGCACAGGAAAAAAAATCACTTTTCTCACTTTTCAGATATACCATCAGCTACCACAAATAATCTAATAGACTAGTAATGTTCATTGTAGCCATCTTTTTTTTTTTTTTTTAAAGTCATGTTACATTCCAATATTTTGTATTTTTAACTCATAGTAAAGCCATCAATAGCTACAACAGCTTAAGTGGCAATATGAGCAGGTATTCTGAAAAGCTGTGCAATTATTGCTTTGTGCATAGTCAGAGTAGAATATGATTGTTTGTTCCAATTATTCTCCCAAAGATTTAAGCTTAAGAATGTAATATTGTTTTCTTTGCTCTTATTAAATTTCTGTGAGAGATGATATACTAAAACCAAACAATTACTGAAAAGAGTTCACTGAACAGCAGATAGTAGAGCATGCTGCAGACCCAAGCTGATATATATATATAATTGCTTCTCCCCCCCCCCCCCAATTTCATAATATCTGCCTACCGTTCTGTGCCTCAATAACTGCAGGCTCTACTTTATCCAGATCTTCTTTCACGCTCATTTGCTTATCTGCAATACCTTCTTGCTGTTTGTGTAACTGTTCTTGAATTTCTTGGCTCATAACCTAGGGCAAGTTATACAAAGTGAAATATTAGAATCTCAGCCATGTACATAGTAGTCATTTTCGTGTTATTAAACCAATCAGAGTCCTCACCTTTTTCTTCTCTGCTTCTTGTTGATCTTTTACCATCTTTTTTAATTTATCATTAGCTGCTGCATTCTTCACTTCAAGCTCCTGACTTTTTATTCTTAAGTCACGGCGCAGTTCTTCTACCTGGAATAGATATGAGATTCTCAATAATGTCAACGTGCATTAATGGAAAGTTCTGTAATAACTTCTAGGGGTTGTCAAGAATTTCTCTCCCCCCCCTCCCCCATTGTCCTTTGTTTAGGTTTATACCTGGTCCACAGTTTCCTTGATTTTCCTGAGTCCAACATTCAAATGCATCTGCTGTTCTTCCAATTCACTCCTCTTTTCATTGAATAAATTTGCATAGTGGTTGATGAAGTCCAAATAATGACGAGGAGTGATGGCCATTGTTCTGCCACCTCGTTTTGCTAGTCGAGCGTTAGCCTGCCGTCAAATAAAATGTTGGTACAAATTGGTAAGTTTTAAAATTTCCTCCACAAAACACAAATGCAATATCTTCATCTAGGATTGTCTGATTAAGAGCACAAAAAACCCGTATCAAAATGAAAAGCTGAATCTACCTGATGAAGTGTCTGATGAACAAACACACAGCTGTTTACAATAGCTTCTCTATGTGATGGAGGCTGTGGCAGCTTGTCATAGACAACTGGCATGTAATCAGGCACAATGTAATTTGGTTTCTCAAGATCCATTTTGCTAGTGAATTCTTTACCAACTTGATAAAGTGCCTCAGTGGACCAGTCTCCAAACCAGTTCAATACACACCTAAACAAGATAAGACAATATTGCCATATTTTGAAATGAATTAATGGAAATTATTCACACATAGTGTATTAATGGTGCAGTACCTGTTGAAGAGGGCTGGAGATGTAGCTGCTCTATCTTTCAATCCTTCTGAAGATGGATTCATGGTAAAGACTACGTGCAGATTTCGGATCACTTGACTAGTGAACCATTTATAAAGTTCTTCATGTGAATCCAACATTAAGCCTTCTTTCTGGGCCCCTTCCTTACACTGAGTCATAAGTGTGGCATATTCATCTCCTTCAAACAGTCCAGGGACCTACATTGAGAAAATGCACATTAGAAATCTAATTGATTCTGGAAACTCTTAGAGAAGGGCTGAATTCCAAGTTTCTGACAGCACAAATACATAGAGTTATACAACTGTTTTACTGCAGACTGGTTGTTCTTCAGCTCAGAGATTAAATTTCAACTGATCACGGTAACTGATGGAACAATGGCTTTTTTCATTTTAAAATACAGAAATCTAGATCCAGCTTTTCCCTAAGCTCTTCATTAAGTTACCTCTCCATTGGCCAGAAGAGTGTTCATTCTCTCCAGGAATCCAGAATCAAGTACATTTGATTCATCCATTATGAATGCAATTTTCTCATTCTTGCAGCCAGATCGTCTCAATACCGTTCTTAGATCTTCATCAAAATCTTCACCAGTGTACTTTCTATGTACCTGTGAATCACAATTGTGGGTCAATTTTTGTTTTTATGTAGTCTATAAAAGGAAAGCAACATAAATTGGTTTTAGTTCTACTATTTGAAAGAGTGGTTGTAATAACCTTAATTTGGTAGACACTTAGACCATTCATCCACGCCACAAACCGAGACAGAGTTGTTTTTCCTGCTCCACTGACACCAATGAGAAGTAAGTGCCCCTGAGGTTGACGGAAGATTCTGAAAAGATACTTCATTTAGTGAATATAATGCAAGCTACCAGTATAACTCATTTCCTTCTATAGGAATTATTTATTCATTACATTCAATGGAATGTTCCTACAGATGAACATACACACAATTAGAGTCTTAAATGTATTTATAAAACATTATTGGAGATTCTTTCCAGTATTCAATATCCAAGAAAACATTAAATATTCCTTCTTAAAATGAAAATTAGATTAACTTAATAATATACATTTTTCTTGCCATGGTTTCCCGAAAATAACACCCGATCTTTTTTTTTTTGCCTCCAAAAGAGCCACCTGATCTTATTTTCCACTCACCTCCGGCACTGACAGCCCTGCCCAGCTGGCCCATTTCTGCGGCCAAAAGAGCAGCTTCATTCTGCAGCTGAGAATGGAGCTCCGACCTGCATTTTGCAGTCAAAGGCCTTTCTAAGAAGGCCTGTGTAGCCGAGAACCAAGCTATGGATTCAATCCATATCAATTCAATCTATAGCTCAGTTCTCGGCTGTACAGGCACTTCCAGAAAGGCTTTTGACTGAGAAATGCAGGCTGGAGCTCCATTCTCAGCTGCAGAATGAAGCTGCTCCTTCGGCTGCAGAAGAAGTAGGCCAGCGAGGCAAGTGTCGATCCATGGGAGACCTGGCTGCAATGATAACTCCAGCCCTCCCCACCCTAGCTTGATTTTTAGGTGTGCACTTTGCCCCAAAACTAGGGCTTATTTTGGGGGCAGGGCTTATATTAGGCCCAGCCCCCAAAATCAAGCTAGGTCTTATTTTCGAGGTAGGTCTTACTTTTGAGGAAACACAGTAGTAATACACATACCTATCAATTCGTAGCACATGATCTAACACTTCATTGAATAAAACAAGTGGCACATCGAGTTCTTCTTCATAGAAAACTTTCAGTCTTGCTTTCACATAATCTCTTAACTCCTCTTGATCAACTGGGATATAGTCCTAACAAAAAATAGAACAAGCAAATATTTTTGTATGTACACAGACACACATAAATGCTGAAGCTGACTATGTTTAGGGTATTATCTTAAGATGCATAAAATGTTCATTTGCAAAGGTGCTTGATTTCTCATTAAAAATTGTTTCATATTAAGCAGTCACTGCCTTGAGTTTTCCCCCAAAATAAACAAAGCTGACAGGAATGTAACATTTATTTCCAAATCATGATGCTGCAAGAAAAGTACTGATGCAAAATAAATGGAAATAATAAAAAATCAGCACTGAAATTCTGAACAATCCTAAAAAAATAGCACAATTATTTAACTGAGACAACTCATTCTATACACAGAAAAAGATAAAACCAGTTTAATATAAAATAAAATCTTGATCCATATTTTCATTTAGGTTAACTTTCTTCCTCAAGGATATAAGAATGAAGTAGTTACTTAAATTAAATTTAAATTTTAACATGGCTATCAAGAATCATGGTCAGCTACACAGGCTGAGTTTTGCAAACATTTCATAGTTAAACTGGCCAACTAATATTCAAGTCAACATACCACAGTAGAACTAAAAAGGTTGCCCTATCTGGCCTCAACCAGAACAGAATGGATTAACTGTAATTATTATCCTTTTTGACAAATTTATTACGTGAAAAAGTTTCCACACAGAATTTTAAATTTTTGTTATCAGTGTCGGATACAGAAGTGGCAGGGTAGTAATTTTATATCTTTTAAACATGTGCTAATTGTTTTTAGTTGAAAATATCTCCATGTCCTAATATCTCCATGTCCTAAACATTGTACAACTCAACCACATAGAAGATAGGTTTTTCTCTTACCTTTGAAAGCCAATTACTGTAGAGAATGGGCCTGCACATGGCTTTCTCTTTATCTATATTGGGGAAATGTTTCAGAGCTACCATATCGATATTTTCATCAGTCCATCGTCTCTCCTCATCTTCCACAAGCCTGAATAAACACAGGAGATTGAGAGAGGAAGCAGACAGGACTTAACCAGGATAAAAGTAGGGAAATAACAGCATAATAGAGCTCTGAGAAGAAGGAAGAAGGCTGAAGATAATTCTCAGCTCACCAACTACCTTGCAGGAAAGATTCTAGAAAAATTGTAGAAAACGGAAGCAAAACTTTTGATAGTATACATTTTCTAGAAAACATTTAGATTTTCTCTTTCCTGGACAGCTTTTAGGAGATCTATCTACAACAAAATGCCTACAATTTAAAAAAAGGGGAATTCTTTTAAACAGAAGTCTAGTACAGAATATTTATTTGCTACAACCTGGCAAATTAATAAAAACAAGCATATAACTTTGCATCACTAAGAAGAGGAAATTTATCCTATCCTAGATATTTTAAGTTTACCTGTCCTGGAACAGGCGCAAGGCTTCATGTGCCCAAATTCGAATGAGTCCTTCAACAGGTAACGTTTCCAGAGGTCTCAGAGCTTCAAAGATACCTCGCACCCATCGAGTCATTTCACGAGGTGAATAGATATAGTGTGGCTGAGTATCTTGAGTAAACCTTTCCTGTGTGGGAAAAAAATACACGATGAGTGCTTACTAGCATTTCACCTCCCCCCTTAATCATTTAATTAAAAGCTATGAAAAACTTTCAGCTTTACCTGTGACATTGTGTAGAACTCAACCATTGCAGCAGTCAGGGGCTCTGCATAAGTACGGAGAGATGGAATAAGTCTCAACATAGCACGATTGAAAGTGCCATAAATCTGAGTGAGTGAAGCTGGTCCAGGGTAGTCCACATATACAACAGGAACATGGCGCAAGAATCTGAAAAGATATTCAAAGAGATTAATTTAGGAACATTATCTAATAGTATTTTATTAGACTAAAGAGCCAGTTCAGTGTAGTCAGTCAGACTAGTTATTCCAAAGGTGCACCTTTGGGATAACTATGACCTGGATGATTGAGAATCTCCATAGACATTCAGTCAGACTAGAAATCAAGGGATCATGAGTTCTAGTCCTGCCTTAAGCACAAAGCCAGTTGGTTGACCTTGGGCCAGTCACTCTCTCTCAGCCTTAGGAAGCAGACAATGACAAACCACCTTGGAAAACTTCAAGAACTTATACAGGCAGTCGTCAGGCACCAAGACAGACTTGAAGGCACACACACATACACACAAATTTAGACTGATTACATAGATTCCAAAAATTAATAAATATACTCTGCAATAAATTGTTTCACAGAAGGTCCTGAGAATTATGCAAAATTATGTAGGATGAGATATTTCATCATTAATTTCTCTTTGTCAATAGCCTTTCTAATGGAAATATCATTCTAGAATCCAAACTACAGGAATGCAGTATTATATTGCACCAAGAGGGCTCAGGTACTATAATATTACATAGTCAACTAAAAACATGGTTGTGGGAGAAAGCATTTGGTGGATGTTAGATTTGCTATTGACTCCTCCTGTTCAGTGCCATTAAAATGTGCATTGTTTAAAACTGTTGTGTTTCATACAAACCCCCTCAGACTAAGCTGGCATGAACATGCATATTGTGTTATAGGCTTATTACCTATGTGAAAGAGGTTTTCTTCCAGGATCTGTAGGTGGGTTGCACGCACCAACAAATTGAATTCGTTCCAATTTCACCCAGGTCTGGTCTGATGTACGGTAGAAACCTCCATGCTCTACCATCTGATCAAGTTAAGAGTCTTGGTTAGAAAAGAGATGGACATACCATGCTGTTCCCTTTTGGGAAATACATTGTATGCAAAACACAGGGAAAAGCAGAAAAAATTGAGACAAAAGATAAATTTTTTATTAAATCCTTCAGTAAAAAATTTACACCTTTTCTTCACACTTTTCTATCCCATCTGCACATTAATACATTGCTTTTTTGTTTTGCAATTTAATCCTGATTCACAAAGAAGGTATTTTTTTCACTTATTTAATACTTGCCTGTCTTATAAAGGATATGACCCTCTGTGTACCATATTTATCCATGTCTGGCAGGTTGATTTCATCACAGAAGAGTACCAGCCATTTTCCCAGTTGAACCGGAGCTAGTACAACACCATTAGGTGTACGCCTGTACTCACAATAGTGATCAAATGTTTTCAGTAGTAGTTCTGGAGTGGTAGCACTGGAGAAATTCAAGCCAACCACCTGGAAAGGCAAAAACAACTTAGGAAGAGGAAACAAAAGTAAGAACCAAAAATATCCTTCGCCTGCATAACATTTTAGAAAACGCTGCAATCTGTTGTTGATGGTTGACTATTCCAAAATAAATATTCTAAGCTACGTGTATGTTTTAAAAGTTTGGTTCTTGAAGAATGGGTTCCAATCTAGATTTTATATATAACAAGGCCACATTAATTCATACTGTGGCAGTATTCTCCATTGGCTTATAATGTCCTTTAAACATGATTTGGCTATTATAATTATAACCATTAATTATATATATATTGTGTTAACTGAGCATGTAGAACAGGTCTTAACAGTCTTGAATCAGCAATATTTCCTTTTGATTCTAATTCAGGGCGCTGATTTTACTTTAAAACCTTAACTGACTAATGATCAGAATATCTCAAAATCTATCCATTGAGATAATCAAGGACATCCAATTTTCTGGAATGAAGTGAATGGAGCTCTGGATCAAGCTCTCAATTACTACTGGAACTAGTACTTTGTGATTAAAGGACTATATTTCTCCTATTCTGCTAGAAGGTTAACAGTTACTCACTAAAATAATTTCAAACATTCAGAATGGGGAAATACCTCCATATCAGGCAAGGCCCTGAGTGCACTAAAGAGAGTCATGGTCTTTCCAGATCCTGGTGGGCCACAGAGTACCAGTGGTTTGTGCTCTGCAAGCCAAGTATACAGCAATGCCTCATGGCGGACAGTGTCGAGCGTTGGCACAACAACATCAGGAGCTGCAACTTTATGAGTCTCAACTTCGATCTGTGGGACCTTTGACTGCCAAGGCACCCATTCACCAGTGATGGAGACCTACACAAAGAAAAAAGGACCTGCTACTTTCTGCTTTTGTTACGGCCAAACAATGGAACTCTAACTGGAACTTTTAATTGTTCAAACATTAAGAAATGTCATCAATAAATCATCAAATTGAAAAGCCTTTTAAAATTATTCCACAAAAAATGTACTTGGACATCTTCCAGTTCTGAGGAGGCATTATTTTCTGTGTAGAGGACGTGTCATCAGGATAGCCACAAAATGACCAGTGAAATGTATTTTTCTTTAGAATTATTACTTTCATACCACTTTATAGTGCTTAAGCAACAAATCCAGGAATGTGTGTTTTTTTGATACTCTAATTAGTATAAAACCTTAATTTCATTAAATGCATGATCTTAAATGCATGGTAAAATTAAGTAACAAATATTTTGCACATTGTTGCTAGGCCTTTAGAACTACTTGTAATATGGTGTAGGTAGTCCTCGACTTACGATGGCAATAGGGACTGGAATTCCTATCGCTAAGTGATATGATTGTAAAGCAGGACTGTACTGATGAGCAAAGGTAATCCCTGCAGTTCCAGTTGCTGTTGTTAATCGAATCTCTCAATCCTTAGGTGAAGCAACTTCCTGCCATCTCCTTTACCACCAAATTTCTTCCTACAACCGAAATTTGTAAGGAAGCTGGCAGGAAGCTGCGAGTCTCTTGCTGAAAGCAGATGAGTGGCTGCTGCTGAGTGGGAAAGGAAGCAAGGGAGGGAATAGGCCAGTGATGGTGAACCTTTTAGAGACCGAGTGCCCAAACTGCAACCCAAAACCCACTTATGCATCATCGGGTGCCGGGTGGGTGTGGCCCATTGGCTGGGTGTGGCCCATTGGGTGGGCGTGGCTGCGGTGGTAACGGCAGACTGGGTGGGACTAAAAAGTTCAATCAATCAATTCCAACTTTGCAAGATCTTTTTTTTCCCTGCGAGAAGTTGAAATTGACTGATTGATTAATCCTTTTTTTTTTTTGCACACGGCGGTGGAGGCCTAAAGCGAAAAGGTTTTATAAAACCCAGCTGAAGGCCTAGGACTGGGGCGACTGCACGCGTGCCCACAGAGAAGGCTCTGAGTGCCGCCTCTGGCACCCGTGCCATAGGTTGAGAGGCACAATGTAAGTCAGAGAGGATGTGCAAGGGTGTGTAATAGGTGCAGATCAGTGCCTGAGGGTTGGGGAGAGTTGGGGAAGATGTGTGAAGGAGGATTTGTGAGAGGGTGTATGAAAAGGAGGGTCTGTGGGGGTGCATGGGAGGCACACTGAGGGTTGAGGAGGTTGTGTGAAGAAGGGATGGCAAGGGTTGAGAAGGGTGTATGAGCATGTTAGGGAGTGCATGAGTGTACAAGGTAGGTATGGCGAGGTTAGGGAAGGATGCCTGACTAACTGGCATGAATGCGGAGGGGCTTGAAGAGGCTGCGTGGTTGGGGAGACTTTCCCAGTGACTTGAGACTTCCCTGCTGGCTTCCCCATTGACTTTTTGTGGATCACTACTATCAGTCATAAATGCAAACCGGTGGCCAAGAGCCAAGATCACAATCATGTGACCGTGAGGTGATGGGATGGCTGGAACTCCAAGAATTGATCAAAAACCACTATTCATTCAGTAGTTTTAAACTTCAAATGGTTCGTTGAACAAATGGTCATAGGTAGAGGACTACCCATATTTGATTTGTGGTACTAATTACATTTTTTTCAAGTATTATAATCAGAACAGCAGTCACAGTAATGTTGATGTTATAAAAAAAGGACCATAAGAATACAACTGTCTTTACCTCATAATCAATTATGGGTATATTTGGTGCACTAGGCAGAGGCACCGTTGTAATTCTTCTGATATATTCACCTAGCTCTGCTCTCATTTTCAGACGGCTGTCTCCAGAGAATGACCACAGGATTGCATACACTAGGTATCTCTGAAATGACAGTAAATCATCAGTACTGATGTGAGGAAACAGTATTGTATTTAAGAAACAAATGGAATCAAACAGCAAGGGTTTAAAAAGTCTGGTAATTTTATTGCCTCAGGATTAGTCTTTTGGTGAGTGGGTGGGGCAGCAAACAAGAATTACCTGGATGTAGCGTTCTAGCTGATCTATTTGCATTGGGAAGTCTGGGTGGTTGGCATTATACTGTGCTACGTTGCGGCACGCTTGATGAAGCATGGAAAAGAGAGAACCGAGGCACCGTAGTCGGGTGAGATCCATAATGTGCTCCAGTTTAAAAGCATGTTCAAGTGCCTTTGTTACCAATCCATTAGATGTGAAGTATGGCTGCATAATTGTAGCTGCATCTCTTTGGATCTGTTAATGAACCAGTTCAGTTACATTACAGCTTGAAATTACCACACCAGAAAACAGAGTAAACAATTACTAATTTGTCTAGTGAGGTAAGGAAAATCTAGACCCCCAGGTTTACCTGCAACATTGGAGATGCTGTTTCTTCACTTTCATCTTCTTTCCCCTTTCTCCTGCGTTGAGCTTCGTCTTCGCCTTCATCTAGAGGAATACTTCTCAGTCGGGCCAAGAAATTATTGAAAATCATGTCAGTACTTAAAACATCCTCACTGAACCAAACCATGCCACATCGTGACACTGTGGCTAGAGTGGCATATTTCAAATCTTGAACTTCAAACATGATGCGCACCTATGGGAAAAACAAAAGGGTGGTTTCTGAAAACATTTAAAGCAGACTTATGCTATCTGTTCAAAACACCCTTCTTCAACTACCCTCTCAACTACCCTCCTTTTGAGTTTAAGGCAACCAAAAGGAAAGAATCAGAGGAAAAAATCTCTTGAAGGCCACTGCAGCAAACTCAGTGGAAGAGCTTTGTTTCAAGATATTGGAAAGCCAAATTGCATGTACAGTACTCCAGACTGTACGTGCTAGAAGGACTGCAGACATTCTGAATGCACATTCACTCATTCCAGATACAGAATCTAAATATTCACAATAGACATATGCTAGCTAGACACTGACTAAGCCTCTCTCTCTTTATTAGATAGGAAACAGTGGGATCTTCCCACAGCCTCAGAATTAACTGTTTGAAATTTCTAAAGAAACCCAGGTAAAGAAGCAACAGGATTGCCTCTTTCAAGAACTTTGTTTATTTCCGTAGAAATAGATAAAGGTTTTAAGCAGGAGTTTGAAATTAAAGTTTTTATTGATTTTGATATGTGTGTACTGATTAATTTGTGTAATTACTTGTGCCATATCTCTACAGGGAAGCCTCGCTTAAGGTCCACAACGGGGAGCTGAATCTTGGTAATTGAGTAAAGCCGTCATTAAGTAGGACATCACATGACCTCTTTGCTCAACAACTGCAATTTCAACACTTCTAGTTCTGGTCATTAAGTGATTTCATGAGTCAGTAAGCCGTTAGAGCAGAGGTCCCCAACCTTTTGGGCACCAGGGACCGGTTACGTGGAGAGAGGTTTTTCTGTGGACTGGAGGAGGCATGGTTTTTTGTGCTGCCTGCATCCCGCAGATGGGGCTTTGCTCGTTTGTGTGGCCCGGTTGCTGGCATGTCGCGGCCCGGTACCGGTCCACAGACTGGGGGTTGGGGACCCCTGAGTTAGAGTCCCAGGTAAGGAGCATTGGAATGCCTGAGGGAAGACCCTGGGAGGCATGTTGCAGGTCATGTGAAAGTATCTCCCTGCTCACGAGCTAAAATTTCTCTCTGCTGAAATTCAAGCAAGAATCCAGCTTGAGCTGGTAAATATTTGTGCACAGCCTGTACCAGCCCTTCCAGGGCCTCTGCCATCAACAAGTTCTCCCATCCTCCTTACCTTACACGCTACCCTCCTTGCTCCAAGACTGTAAATCCATCGTGGATGAAAATCCTGTCTGGATTTTGGCACAGAATTTCCTTCAGCCAGCCCCCAGAAAACAGGGGGAATCCTCTTATCTCTGGGGGGCTGACTATAAATGCCCTGTGCTGCTAATGCTCTGTGCCAAAATCCTGCTTGGATTTTGGCATGGACCTTTTTCAGCCAGTCTCCAGAAATCAGGAAGATTCCTCTTGCGACCTTCCCTGCCAGTTTCCCCATTGACTTTCTGGAGAAGCCATCAGGGAAGATTACAAATGGCAATCACATGATTGCGGGATGCTTGGCAAACAATTTTAAGTGTGAATGGGTTGCCAAGTGCCCAGATCACAATCATGTACCTGTGGCAGCAGTACAACAGCTGTAACTTTGGGCATGGGTTGTAAGTCCCTTCATTCAATGCCACTGTTACTTCAAATGGTCAAATGATCATTAATGATTATATTAATGATTATAATCATTAATGATCATTCAAATGATCATTAAGCAAGGACTATCTGCATATAAATTGGGGAATAGTGTAGATTTCCCACATTTATCATATAACTTGTATTCATAAATCTAGCTTTACAGATTTTAAATTACCATTTTTTACATGTTAAGTTGTAGCTGAACAGTAAAAAAGCAAATTGCAGCAGACTAGTAGCATCTTAGGATTGGAGTGGTTCACTTTTCTCTTTTTAATCAAATTATCAATGTTGCTTTGCCATGAGTTGGGTAGCTTTGAAATTACCTTTTTGTTTGGCGCTTTGATATTTGAAATTCAGATTTTCTTTCTAGGCAGAATACATTAGCATGCAGCTGTACAAGAATTGAGTCAATATTCTGATACTATGTTGTTCAAATTTAGCTACAATAAATCACATGGCAATACCACCTTCAATATGAACTGACTGTAGATAGGCTTACATTTGGTGGAAGACTTAGACGTTCTCCATTTGGTAATGTCAGCAACTTGTTGTCATCTAGAACGGAATTCAAATTTTCAACCCACTCGGGATCAACATCTCCATCAAAGATAATCCACTGTCGTTTTTGTAATTCCCCTCTCACATTATCTATAATTCTAAATAAGATGATAAGAATGTAGTATAAATTAGGCAAAATGTTGAATCAGTTTAAACACCTTATTTGGGAATCTTTATATTCACTTTCACCACATCTTATATATTTCACACTTACTTTCTCAAGACGTGGGTAAACAACCCATCTGTCCACTCTCTGGTGTTGGGATCCAAAGTACCGTAGAGATGGTCTTTGCTGATAGCTTTGGGATCAATTATATGTGCAACACCTTCCACCCCTTCTAGTCTCTCCAGAGCTTTCAAAAGTACTCTCCAAGCCATGCTCTTTCCACTTCCAGAAGGACCGACCATCATCAAGCCATGGTTGATCTGGGTAATTTGATAGAGCTGAAGAACCTATAAAAAGGAGTAGAATGGGAGAAGAGCTTTAATCTAGAAAGACAAGTTACAATAATCTTGTTTAAATTTTTAGAGGACTATTTACAACCAAATCTCATAGGATTTTATATTACATTGTTAATAACAGTTGAAAAGCCCTACCTTTTCCACCCACATGCTACCAATATCTTCTCCGTCACCATATGTGAGGTACATTTCCTGACAGACTTTCTTAAGTTCTTCTCTCAGTGCAGTCATTTCTCCTCGGTGATACTGAATGCCAGGGAAAACATCTGACAAGAGACTGAAAAGCAGTGGTATATCTTCTGCAACCAGTTTTGGTACCATAGTTTCACAGACACTCTGGATCAGAATCTACATGGGAAAAACATTTATTAGACAAACTAAGAAGCAAAGCAGTTATTTAATAGTGCAGGATTCAAGACTGGATATAGTAGAGTTACTATACTGAAGTTTAAACTGGACATTATATTTTCCTTGTTTTTTTAAGATAACTTGAGATACTATCAAATACTATTTGTGTGGTGGTTGGTCCAGATGTATTTTTGTTTAAACAAATTACTGTGACTGTTACTAACTGATTAACTTAACATTTATGGTAGTCCAGAACGTTAAGAATACAAATAGTAGCTATGCAAAAATGGAATCTGTTTCAAGTGGAAAACAATAATGGGCTCTTCTAGTCATTTTGGAAATTTTCATATATAGGCCAGCTACTTTATATTTGAGGTGTGTAAAGTTCAAAACCAAGCCTGAAATATTTCAAACACATAACAGTTGTTCTGCACTCCAATCTGGGTGTTTTGAATTCAAAATGAATTGAACCTGAAATGTTATGCACACTTGTACTGAATACCAATGGCATTAAAAAAAATCCAAATTAATTCAAAATCCTTTCATGTTTTTGCATTTAAGGATCTGTCTTACATAACTGTAGAGTGCATTAACTACTCCATATAAAGTATACGGCATACCTCCTGTTCTGGTAAATTTTCAGCAATTTCTCCTTCATCAACAACTTCACCACGCTCTTCCTTCTCTCGTTTTATTCTCTGAATCCTTTCTCTCTTCACATTGCCCGCACTGATCAGTACACTTTTCAAAGCTCTCAAGCCAAAATCATAATGGCTTTGGGAGGAGAGTTGCTCATCACACAGTCTAAGGATATAAAGATGTCACTCTCACAACTATGTTTAAATAAAAACATTGGCTGTAGAGATGAAGGCACATTATTATCACATTCTAGAACATTACTTCACAATGTTTCAGCTCTTTTATTAAGTAGGTCAGACACCTTCATTTGCCCTTAGAAAATACATAGCAACGTGGGTGATTAGTTAGCAGTTTTGAGCTACTTCTTCATGTAATATTATCTACATATAATAAAATAATAAGAATGGTAACTATAGTAATGCCAGCATCTGATTTAACATAATGATCCAAGAATAAATTATCCTACATCCCTCTGTTAACAATGATACTTACTTAAAGAAGGGGACAATCTTGTTGGCAAGCACTTCAGCTGTCCGAAATCCTTGGGAATACAACATAACCTGAGCAATCAGTTGACGGTCAGGTTTTGTCATGGCCAAACTACGGAATAATTTCTTCAAGTTGTCTGGAAGATTTGATCGACCAGCATAGCCAGGGTTCATTGTGATGAAGACTGCCATATCTGGACTCACTTTCACTTGTTTGTTTAGCAGTTCACAGGTAATGGGGGCAGCAGCTGAAAGCAAGCATCTGTCAGTAAGTATACTTTTCACCTCTTCACCTTCCAAGAACTGACAGAAAAGGAATTCAGAAAGGCTGGGGGAGACTATTGGTATGTGTATGTATATTTTATATATTTTTTATTTTATTTTCACGTCTATGGCTGGATATCTCATACAATGACTCTAGACAGCTCACAACAACTGATAAAAACATAGTTAAAAACATATATTTCATCCAGATACCAAACCAAACATCCTCACAGCTCAGCGCCCAAGGCATGGAGGAAAAGCCAGGTGTTCACAGCCCTCCAGAAGACTAAAAGGTAAGGATCCCTGTGGTGGGTGGCTGGGTGTTCAAGGTATGATTAAATAGCAACATATCAGGGAGGGGACCTGGAGTGCATCAACCCTATTCAACCTATTTGAAAGGGCATATACTCTCAGGGAGAGGCAGTCCCATATGTAACCTGGTCCTGTGCCACATAGGGTTAGGGAAGCAACTGGAAGCCAAGGCAGCTCACATAGCATAGTGATACTCAGGTGGGATACGCAAAACTGTATGTGCCACTGCATGGGCAGCCCCACCTAGATTGCATTGTAGTAATCATAATGGAAGGTGACTAAGGCATGGCTGACTGTGAGAAATGTATACCCTTAGAAAGACAATGATATAGTAAATACAAAGGGAACAGCTAACTAATTTGATATATTTTGGGTATATGCTTAAGTAACCCTAGTCCATGTTTTTTCTATATTTAGAAGGAAAAAACCCATCAGTTTGTTTTCTGGTTATCTTTTATAACTTGGTGACATTTCTACAAGTCTATTTGGAAAGCAGAATGGCCTGTGCTGCCCGTTTGGAAACTGGATTCTCTTTTTTTGTCCCCATAGTTCTATGCAAGGTCCATCCCAGGCTTCTCACAAATCTGAATGGTTTCCAGAATATACATCTCCTTAGATTTGTGGGGAAGATTGTAGTGGCTTTTTTCTTTTCCATTTTCTAAGATTTTTTTTTTTTGGGGGGGGGGGGTCTTTTTTCTTTTTTTCTCTCTAGATGATCTTATAGTTTCCTTTCTTTTTTCTCTCCCTACATAACACCTTTTCTTGAATGTTACCCCTTTTCACAAAAGTTTTATAGTTATATTGCTATATTACATTATATTACAAACCAATAAGGTTTTTAAAGATTAACTGTAGTGTTTCGAAAAATGTAATTATATTTCATAAAACAATAACAGTATTGAAATACAGAAATTATATACTTGAAAAACTCTAAAGCACTGGAAAATAGCTTTTTTTAAAAAAAAGAAATACATACATTTGTCATAGTTTGGATTTGAATGTTCTCGCAAGGCTTCCTGAATGCACTGGACTTGCTGAGAAACAGCAGAAAGCATTCGTTCTTCAAGTCTGTTAAACTCATCAAAACATCCCCATGCACCTACTTGACAGAGGCCCACAAAGATGCGGCCCATTGCCTAAAGAGATAAAGAGAAAAGAAACATGTATATATGAAATTGAAAAGGAACTGTAAGCTATTGTAACTCATCATCTATAAAATTGGGAATTTTCCCCATGGTTTTTAAGAGATAAAATCACTATAAAGTCTGAGTCTTTTGTTAAACATTATAGACATATATTGCAACTTTCCTTGTGCTAAAATTTAGGCTCATAATAGATAACTGGATGCAATATACTGTTTGTTAATTTGGATTCTAGGATACAATTGCAATTGTAGCTGTTGTACCAGCCTCCCTGCTGTATAGCGTTTTCCCTCCCTGAACTTCTAAACTCTATGGCTTGATTGGTGGTGTTCTCCAGGATTTTGGTCCTGAGGGACTTCAACTTGTTTTTCCAGGAATAGAATCAGAGGCAGCTTTGAAGTTCATGGCCACCATGACAGATATGGATCTGACCAGGTCATCAAGGGCCTGATGCACAATGGTGCTCACACTTTGAATTTGGTTTTCCAGCTGGAGCATGGTAGCGGGATCTGGAATTAAGAGAGTCTGCCATCATTGCGTCATGGACTGATTAGTTCTTGATCACCCTGGAGTGTTCCAGAGCTGCTCCTTGCCACAGGACGGCAGAACCTATTTCACTGATATATTCCTGGTGCTTGGTGGACCCTATTGGATTTCAAAGAGTGCTCAGGAGTTAAGGTTTGGTGCACAGTTCAGTTGATGCCTTGTTGCAGTTTGGAATGGAAGGGCAGCTGGACTAAATCAAGCCTATATAGTCTTCTCTTCTCCCATGTACCCCACCTTTGAAAAAACACCTGAAAGCTGCAGTTGTACCATAATGCAACAATAAAAGCCATCACAGGCATGTAATTTTTACTTTTTTCAGTACACTCAATGTTACTTTGTGGCTTTGTGAACTGCACTGGCTCCCATCAGATTTTTGGCATAATTCAATGTGTTGATTGCTACCTTTAAAGCTCTTCATGGTATATGACTAGAATATTTAAGGGGCTCATTCTCCACTTGTCTGTATCTGTCCTACTTTGGAGAGGATGCAGTGATGGAGTATGAGATTGTCGGGGAGGATGCAAGGTGTTGCATGTGAGGTGCGGCACATGTCGGGAGGTGTGAGAAGGTGTATTTGAAGCATGGTCAAGCCTGCTTGAAAAGTGCGAGTCAGGGAGGACATGCAACAGGCTGCAAGAGGTATTGTGCGGGTCAGGGAAAGTGCCTGAATATGTGAGGTGGATGAGTGCTATATGGTCCAAGTGCAGAGAAGCTGGGGAGGATATATGGGTTGGGATCCTAATCCTATACAATGAAAAAACAAGAATGACATGTGGTGATCATTCCAAGCTGTTTCCACACCTGTAGACAGAATCTTGCAAAACTGAAGCACTTTACTATCTGCATCTACCATATACTCTGAGAACTATCAGGGAGGGGCTGTTTTAACCCTCTTTCTTTCACACAAAATATCTGGGCTACATTGTCTCTCAATGCACTTCCTCTATTCTGGGAATCCATCCTAACACATTCCATCATATCCAGTGACTTGTGATCTTCCCTGCCGGCTTCCCCAGTGACTTTCTGGGGAAAACAGCAGAAAAGGACACAAATAGCAATCACCTGATTGTAGGGTGTCTGGTAACCAGTCATAAGTGAGAACAAGTTGCCAAGTACCCAGATTATGATCATATGATTACAAGGGTGCTGGGGCAGCTGGAACTCTGAGGACTGGTCATAATCACCATTCGTTCAGCACCATCATAACTTGGAATGGTCACTGATCAAATGATTGTAGGTTGATGTCTATCTGTAAATCAAAAAATGAACAAGTAAAACTGGCTGGGATTGTTGCTCCTTTCCAACAATCCATGTGACTTAAAAATATAAATTATATTGTTTGGAGTTCATTTTATTTTCTAAAAGTGGGTTATTTTGAATTTAATTTTCAAATTAACAAGATTGGAAATTGTGGAGAGATGACTTAATTAATCTGAATCACTGAGGGCTTTACAGTTAGCCTATCATGTAAACATTATAGTATTGCTAGATTTATGCAAAAACAACTAGCACTTTTGAGATAGAAATACAACTCGAAGCTTTTCTAAAATAATCTAATTATAGATGGAAATGCTATACCTGGAAATCAAATGTTTCATCACAGTTGAAAACAAGAACAAATCGCCCAAGCTGATGTCCAAGAGCTTTAACAGATTCTGTTTTACCAGTTCCAGCAGGTCCTGTTTAGATGCAAAAGAGGCAGATTATTTCTGCTCTAGAATAGCAGCATAATCTTGACAGGAAAGAATGTATGAGCAACAACTTACCAAATGGAGATCCTCCTAGCCTGGCCTCCAAAGCTTGTGTCATTGTCAGGTAACAACGATCAGTGAGGGGAGTCTGCACCAGTTTATCTTGGACTCCAAGGTACTCAAAGCCATAGTTGAATTTGGCATTAGCCATCTGAATGGATAGTTGCTGCAGTACGTCAGTTTGTTTAGGATCAAAGTAGAACCTCATCTGGCTCAACCAATCAAATGATTTGGAGTTGTCAATTTTGCTCTTGATCAATGACCTTGTAACATCTCTTTGGTGAACCAATTCGGTGATCTTTTGAAAAAGCAATAAATTAATCTTAGTATGTGCACATAATTGAAACTTTATTAGCTTATGAAATGCACATGTAAAATAAAATGAATGTCTGGCCAAGAGGCAATTAGTTAAGATTATGACTTACCAGGTGTTCCAGTTTTCTTCTGCGGAGAGGAGGCTGCTCCATCAATACAGAATCTGCAAGCACATTCAGCGTTGCTTCGACATTGGTTAGCACAGATTGCAGAGGTGTACTATCACCACCTCCGCCTATGCTGTTCAAAGCAGACTCCACATTTTCTGACCAGGCAATCTGAGCTGAAAGGACAACAAGCTGGGCCTAGAGAATTTTTTT